AGAAGTCTCTTATGTTCACCAATGCTTCATTTATTTAATCAAACATGTAATATTGTGAAATATTATTACAATTTAAAAGAAATGTTTTCTATAGTAATATGTTTTAAGATGTAATTTATTCCTGTGATGGCAAATCTGAATGCACAGTTGTGTTGCTCAATATTTTTGTGGAAACCATGATTTTTTTTTTCTGGATTATTTGATGAATAGACAGTTCAAATAGAATAGCATTTGTTTGAAATAGAAATCTTAATGTATCCTTGCTGAATAAAAACATAAATTTCTTTCAAAAAGAAAAACTAATTTGACTGTCTCCAATCTTTTGAATGGCAGTGCATTTAAAAACATTTGTAAACTGATAAATGCATTGATAAATGTTTCAAACATTTGTGTGCTACATTGAACTCAGCATGTTGCAGGTTTAATTCAGAAAGTGACGTCAAATTCTGGTAAATAATAAGATGGTTGTTGCATTTTTAGTTCAGTTTTGAATAAAAATATCTTAGCTCTACTCAGTACAATCAGAATTCTAAGTGCACAATAAGTTATGAAAGAGATGTAGTAGGTGATCCATGTATTCTGTGCATAAAAATGTGCATATTATGCACAGTACACTATATAATGCAGAAACAGTGAGAACTTTAGTATGATATTCTGAACACAGCTCATTTAATTGACGTGTTTGGACAAGGCCATTTGTGACCTTCAGATGTGCTTGTTACTATTAGTAAATGTCAAGTTCAACAAGAGTGCTTTAAATAACCAGCAAGCACTGTTGTTCTCTCCAGGGTGCAACGAGATAGACAGCAACCCTTCAGATACAGGTCACAGATGAATCTAAAACTTCATTGGTTCATTAAAACTGAGCGGAGGTTTTCGAGCAGCACACACCATGGTGCCACACTCTCTAGGGAGTGTGTGATTATTTTAACTCCAACTTCTGGAAAATATTTCATTATTTTGTGTTAGAGGGTGATGGATCCGTGATCATAATTATTTTCAGCCGGCGTTCACTACACTCTCAAAAGAACAAAATTAAAGCGTAATTAATTTTTCATGCACTGCACTCCATGCTGTGTTTTACGGACATGAAACATTAAATAACTGGCGAGTCATGAAGCAAATATAGTTCTGAACTCACTGCTTGTAGCCGACGGCACATTGACATCAGTCTGCAAAGCACATCATGGGCTTGACCTCAGCGTCCTCACACATTATGAAATGGCAATGACAAACTTTGCTGTAGGCTTCTGGGTTGCTTTTACATTTAGATTCATTTCTGAAGCACCGTTTTCACAGACTATATGTCATGAATATGTGACCTTAAGCTGTCACTTTATGTACTTTTGTAAGCTTTGAGTTATTAAGATTTTCATAGAAATTTTCTTTTTTCCTCTTAGGATATGTGGCTCTTTCTGAACATAATTGGCACTTGAGGAGTCTTGACCATTTCTTTTGAGTCATTGCATTTCCAGTGTGATAGTGAGAGTGTGCGACATGGCAGTTTGAGAAATTCTTTTATAACAGCGTCTACAGAAAGAACTGGAATAAAACTGAGCTATGAAGGATGACGCAGAGAGTGGAAATCTTAATACCATATGTGCTCCATATAGGCTGACCTATTTCCACTCTCTTTTCTTGCCATGCAGCATATATGCAAATTTTAACATGCTTTTGAGTTCATCCAGATTCAGATTAAAGGCACAATATATAATTTTCGCCGTTAGAGGGCGCGTATTCAAAATAAACAAATAGACAAAGGCGTAGTTTGATGACACCGTGACTGAGTGTGGAATCATGGGAGTTGTGGTCTTCATCCCCACAGCCGATGCAATCCGACGGGACTCGGGCAGAAATCATGTTCATGGATGAGCTAATGATTTATTAACGTAGTAGAATGAAGCAGGGTGAGGCTGAAAGTCGTCGAAGCGAAACGAGGCCGCTGAACGAGCGCGACACACGGCTCGAAAGCAGCGGAGCTTTTATCATGCCACAGTCGACCGCTTCCGCTCCTTCCGGTCGTGCGTATGTGGGGTAAAGCAGCGCTATTTTATCATACTAGATACATTTGAAAGTTCTGTTATAATGCTACTCTGTGCGGTCGTCACCGGTCTATTAAAACGCACAACATATTAAAGCGTCTTTGGTGTTTCCATGTTTTCTACAAAACCGAAAAATCGAGGGGTTACGACGTCATTGGCAGGCGACACAATGACACTATGGACACGGTCCGTGTCACTAGTTAAAATTGCTTATTTCTCTGGATTTAAACATTCTTTGAAACATTTGGGATAATGTAAGTACACAAGTCAGCAAAATATATAATACTGTTCTAGTGGTTTTTGGATATTTTAATAAAAAATTTTTTACATATTATGCCTTTAATGTAAATTCTGATCTGTTAAAAGTTATTCATTCCCCAAAGAGTTGCCTTGTACTTGAAACTTTAATACTTACAAAGTTTACCAATCGGGTGCGTTTCCCAAAAGCAACTATGGTCGTAAGTTCTGTCGTTACCAATGGAGTTCAGTGGAACTAACGACCATAGTTAGCTAACGATGCTTTTTGGAAACGCAGCCCAGAGTGGCTATTCAAATGATGCAACGTCGTTTAGTTCATTTGTGTCTGGTGTCGTTAAACAAAATTTGCATAACCAATCATTGTCTGCGATATGTATTCAAGCCAATCAGCTCTCAGTATCACAGCAGCGCATCATCAAATATGCACTGTATGTTCCGTTAAGAAAACAGGTGAAGAGAAACTTGAAATTTAGCCAAAATGTTGATGAAATACAAATGAATAAATACAAATCTGCCATAATGAAGGATGGAGTTCTTCTACTATGCATATGTGACCCTGGACCACAAAACCTTAAGTCTTAAGTCCCTTGGGTATATTTTTAGCAATAGCCAAAAAAACATTGTATGAGTTAAAATTATCGATTTTTCTTTTATGCCAAAAATCATTAGGATATTAAGTAAAGATCATGTTCCATGAAGATATTTTGTACATTTCTTACCGTAAATATATCAAAACAATTATTGATTAGTAATATGCATTGCTAAGAACTTCATTTGGACAACTTTAAAGGCGATTTTCTCAGTATTTAGATTTTTTTGCACCCTCAGATTCCAGATTTTCAAATAGTTGTATCTCGGCCAAATATTGTCCTAACAAACCATACATAAATGGAAAGCTTATTTATTCAGCTTTCAGATGATGTATAAATCTCATTTTCAAAAAACTCACCCTTATGACTGGTTTTGTGGTCCAGGGTCACATATGTGAGTAGATGTTAGATGGAATAATAAGGCTTTCCTTTAGTGATCTGTATATGACGCTGCAATATTTGTTCCATCAGTTTACTATATTAAGGGTTGTGTTGGCGATTTTAGAGATTATAGCGCATTATTTATTATCAAGATTATTCTAGGATATCATGACGGATATAATCTGTGTACGGGAGAATAATTATCAGTACATAGATAAACATAAAACCGGCTGCAATTATTTTTAATAACATTATTTACATGTCAGCCTACCTGAATATTCCTTCATGGTCTGCCCTTTGTTTGTTTGTTTTTAAATAGCTTGATACTGACAATCATAATAGTGTAAGTTATACTTTATATTGCACTGGTCACTATAATAAATTGTATCTCTCATGTTTTAAGAATCAAGAATATTAGTATGAAATAGAATCCCATTCATCAATTTCAACTCAAGAGTCATGCCACAGATCAGCAGGCTTTCGGCTTGACGCTGTATATAGATATGATTCTTTAGTTAATCTAATTGTCTTTTAATTATTCATGTTTTCTTTGGACCTCTCACCACTGGAGCAGAGAGATAGATAGATAGAGCAGCCAGGGAGAAGATGGAGTATCAGAGGTCTGCTGCCTTTTCCAGTTGGCATAAGACGAAATGTCTAATGACAGGGAACACCGACAGCAGTTCCAGCAGATTTCTGGCAATATATTTACATGACTTGATGCCAACTTACAGTTGATGGTGCTTTATTTGATCCTTTATAAATTGATTAGATTGTAAAAAGTGGAATAAGAGGGAAAAAATAAGAGGAATTGGTGACATCGAGTGAAAAGGAAATTTGTCTTAGGTGGAGCAGGTTGTTACAGTTTAAGTAATGTTACAAAGGGGAAAAAATCCTTTACTATAACATTCACCAATGAATTGTGCACAATAAGATCAGGAATGTGCATTTAGAAAATGAATAAGGTCAGTTTTGATTTTATGTTGACTTTAAAGGAATAATTCACCCCAAAATTTAAATTGCTCAATAAAAGATTTTTACTGGACTTTTTTAGTGTTATTATGGACATTTGTAGCTGGAAGCAAAGGTTTCAAGTTTAAATGTCTTAATGATGGAGCTTTTTGCTTCACAATACATTAATTGATGGACCTGAATCATATGGATTACTTGTGGATTATTGTGATGTTTTTATCAGCTGTTTGGACTCTCATTCTGACGGCACCCATTCACTGCAGAGCATCCATTGGTGAGCAAGTGATGTAATCCTAAATTTCTCCAAATCTGTTCTGATGTAGAAACAAACTCATCTACATCTCGGATGACCTGAGAGTAAATTTTCAGCAAATTCCTTTACATTTCCCGCATTATTTTTAGAAGTAGCAATTAATTCATAATCTAATTCTCAGTACACATCTTCTAGGATATATCTATCATTTTTCTCTTTCTATTTTGTGAGCTTTGAGTAACCTGAGTCCTTGAATTGATGAGTCAATTTCTGAGAATGAGTCTAGATATATTGACTGCCACACAATACTTGCTCGATTATTGTCTTCAAATGAAAATAGAATGAAATGCAGAGACGTACATGTGATGCACGGCACTGTGTGAGTCACTTATAAATTCTGTTTGTTCATTTTTTGTGCATTGCTGTACCAGATCTGTCTGGAATACTCGCTTCAGTGTGTCTTTGTTGGCACAGCCTAAAAAGCATTTTTCATCTCTTTTCCAGCCTTCAAGTAAGAGCTACATTTCCCGTTTAGAGGTAAGCACCTCATTACTCCAGCAGCCATGGCAGACGAGGCCGACATGCGCAACGAGCTGACGGACATGCAGGCCAGAGCTGATCAGCTGGGCGATGAGGTAAGTACACCTTCAACATGCATGGGAGATGCACGTCTAAAAATAAACCCTAAATACGACAGCATCTGTTTATAAATAGACCCGTCCCAGCGTGAAGGAGAATGAACACACCATGACTTCCAGACGTGCAGTAGAAGATAGAACCACTCTAAAGAGCATCTCTGAATAAAACTGTTTTGTGCAAAATGAAGCGGCTCTATAATAAGACTGCTCATCTATTTATCATGGAGCAGTGGAGACTGCTTGGTTACCAGGCAGAAGCAGTGAGAGGTTCTCCACTTGTTTCAGACAGAAACAGCCTAACTCACAGCACCTGCCCAGTGGGGGTTCTACACTGGCTTTGATAGACCTTTAATCACACTGGTCTCCTGCTAAACAATCAGAACTTTGACACAGCTACATGTGGGAGGGTGATTGACCATGTCATCAGAACTCTAGTGCATTATTAATATGGCCAATGCACATATGTCCTTGATTGATTTACTAGGTTATATACTGACAAAAAAGGGATAGTTCACCCAGAAATAAAAATTCTGTCATCATTTACTCACCCTCATGTCATTCCAAAACTGTATGCAACAAAAGAAGATATTTTCAAGAATTTTGTCCATACAGTGCAAACCAATGAAGCCCAAAACAACATTGGAACCCAGTTTCATTGTATGGAGATATATAAGGCATGTGGGCTTGGAACAAACTTGAAGGTGATTGAATTTGTTTTTGGGTGAACTATCCCTTTAAGAAAAAAACGTTACTGTCATTTTTATCTTAATCCTTAAATAATACAACTTTTTTTTAACACTGCTTGAAGGTGAATTGTGCAATTTATGTGCCACTAGTGGCACTAAAAGGAAACAGGAAACAGACAAGTGTCACTAGTGACACCTGTCTGTTTCCAGACAGGTGTTCAAAACATTCAAACCACATCACCCCCGCATTAATCCACATAACAACAAAAACTATTAAAAATCCTTTTCTGTAATTGAAATAAAGCTGCAATAAATGCATTTAACATATAAATATTAAATGAAAAAAATTGTTGAAAATGTTGACTTGGGAACAAACTGAAAAAAGAGGTTTAAGTTGAAGTAATAAATGTATTAAAATGGACATAAAAATAAAGTTGTACAAACAAAATTACAACAAAATTTGTAAAACTTCAACTAAAATTTTAATATGAAAATAAAACTGAAAATAAAAAAATAAAAGCTCATGTAAAATATCAATAAATAAATACTATAAATACTATACTATAATAAATACTATACTATAATATAAATACTATAAATAATATAAATTATGCAAAAATACATTGTGTATGTTCTATATTGAAAAAATAGTTCCATGTCATTTGTTACGTATGGTGACATGCAGCAACTGATATATTTGAAGTTCCATAAATGTGAAAATAGACTAAAACTGGAGCACTTTGCATGCACAATATGCAAACTGAAAACCAGACTTCTGAAATCATCTGGGTTCATTTGAAGCATTCACATACAAACCAGGATTGTGGCAAAAGTAAACAGATGTTTCCCAGAGTCTTTTTATTTTTCTCACCATGAAATAGCTTCAATAAATAAGCAGATCATTACATGAGATGAAAATTGACTTGCCAGCTAGTTGACTAACTTGTCAATAGTTGTTGCCACACATTAAAGTGGCACAAGAGACAGTATTAACACCGAAAAAATGACACACTTCACCTTCAATACCACACAATGACGAGGTGGTGTATGGTTGGGTGGAGTATGGTGTATGATCTATGGCATGACTCTTGACGAGAGCTCTCTAAAAAGAAATCAAGATCCCAATAATGATCTTTAATCCCAGCCTGCTATTGAGCGTCCTGTGGCACTGCACAGTCATATTTCTTCAGCTCAGATATATACAGTGAACTGGAATGGGAGAGCTTTAAATATTCATGAGTGGATAATGCTATCTTGAGCTTTCTTTGAAGGAACAGGAAGGAAAGGAGGGGGGACAGAAATGGCTATACATTCAGCTCAGTCTGAACTTGGCAGCCATTAGTAACATTCTGTCGGAACTGACATTATGAACATTATGGCCTTGTACCAACTGTGGTGCTCGACACATAGCATTCAAATAACAACATGAAGAACCAAACAAGCAGGAACATATTAGCTGCTGTGTACATTGTGGGTAATAATACGTGTATTTTTCTTTCTACAGTCTTTGGAAAGCACTCGCCGCATGCTGCAGCTGGTTGAAGAGGTAGGATAGTGACTTAATGACTTATACACACACACACACACACACACACACACACACACACATATATATAGCTGTATATGAAAAGCTGTTTTTACAAAGAGTTTGGTGCACTGCTTGTTTTCATGGCCGCTGAAGGTCAGAAATGGAGACGGTGAAATAGCACCGAATTTCCGCTCTGTGATAAAAATCAATAATGATTTCAGAGAAACTCCATCTATGTGTTACTGATAGGGCAGCGGTGAGACACGGGAGAGAAAACGAGTCTTTCTAGTGTCTAATAGGGATCAAACACTCCTGACCACACATGTGGAGATGAAAAGATGGTGTTCAGAAAAGATGGTGGTTGCTTTGGCATTATAAAGATCAGAAACCTAAATTTTAGTTTTAGTGTGATAGCGAGTATAAATCATATTATTTATTTGGTTTATTATTTAATGTTTTCTTCATCAAGGCTGCATTTACCTAAACAGAAATAAAATAATAAATGAAATATTAAGACTGCTCATCTATTTATCATGAAGCAGTGGAGACTACTTGGCTACCAGGCATTTCTAAAAAAAAAAAAAAAAATACAGACCCCAACTTTTGAATGGTGGTGTTAGTATAATATGAAGGTTCCTGCTCCAAGTAGGGTTATTGCAGCCAAGATGTATAATATTTTTGGTCTCTATATATCTTAATGATTTTTGAAAAACAGACCCAGTACCAGGTGTTGAAAATTACATCTTGAAATTGGCCATCCAAAGTTGTGAACGAATCATTCTCTCGCTTCATTTTTGCCATTGTTGGAAAAAAAAATTCCTTACTTCAGCTGCTAATGACCTTCAAAGTTCAGCAGTGCTGAACAAATATAATGTTCCCATCTGGTACTTGCATCTGATTTCATATTAAACGCTTCCAGTTTCCATTATGCCATATGTCACTTTGATTAAATGCAGAGTAATTGTTATTATTAGTATAAAAACTGACAAAACTGATAAGTGGGGATATTTTACTAAATGAAGTATTTAATTTTTTTTCATTGCATATAAAGATTGCTGTAGGTACCTGGTGCTGTGATAACAAACCTCAGCAGTGCTCGATCATCTAGTTAAAATATTGAGGTGATGTGGGATTCAGAATAAGACAATCAGCTGTTTTATTTAGGTCAATAGAACCTGCATGTGCCTCAGAGAACGACTCGCCATATTGCACACACACACATGCTCTTATACCTTCAGAGTTCAAGCCAGTGCTCTGTTTACAATTCAGAACTAATTTTAGCTCCATACTGTCTGCCACCTCATTGCCACCTTATTATTACCTGCCAAATGAAGAAAGCGCTCTTGAAGAATTTCAATAGTCGTGATAATGCTGTGCGCTACAGTCTGTCCTTGCTTGCTGTTCTTTTCTCATCTTATATCTGACCTAAATATGTGTGAATCTCCTTTCTGTTCGCCTGTAGGCTTCTCTCATTTGTTTGTTATTTCCTCTTTTTTTCTTGCTTTGCCATTCTTGATGGATTAGAGTAAAGATGCTGGTATCAGAACTTTGGTTATGCTGGATGAACAGGGAGGTAAGTTACGGCGAAAAACACATTATGGAATCATTTAATGAGGTTGTGCAGTAAGTCAAATGATTTTAGCAAATGGCTGCAATATAACAAAGAGTGAAAAATTTAAGGGGGTCTGAATACTTTCCGTACCCACTGTATCTGTGTACAATCCCTGGGGCGAAAGACTTTCCAGTTAACACTCATTGCTGTTTTAGGATAATTAGACAAACATACTCCATTCCACGAACAGTATAGGCATTTTCATGAAAAAATAAAACAATAATTGATTTATTGGTTTAATAGAAACAGTCACATCTATAGACAAATTAAGCCCTTATAATGCTAGAGGCTTTATTCGGTTTTATGTGGATTATAAGCAGTGTTGAGTTCCTTTCCACATGGAAGAGAAATTTTAATTAGTCTGTCAAAACAACATACAGCCTTTCTTCTCGTTGTGTTAAATTATGGATGTTGTGTTCTTCAGACTGCCTCAGAACAATCCATTTCCTACCTTAAATGATCCCGCCACCTTTCTTGCCTCCAGCACATCTCATAAAGCTGTGTTCTGATTGCTTAATGTACTGTAATAGTCTCCTAGAGCTCAGGAGGCTTCCAGTTAGAAGTCCACTGCAGTAGACATATAAAGGGAGTGATGAGAATGTCACTTAAAGAACTACATAAAGTCAGTTGTCTGACTCAAGGGCACCGCGATGGTAGCTCATTAATCACATTTTCAGCATTTTGAACCTACAACCTCTGGGTACCAGCCTACAGTGTTAACAGTCCAAAAGGGTATGGTACTCCATCTGTTTTATTTAAAGATAGAAAATGTCATGACATTAACCAAGCACAAATTTCTATTTCTTTCAATGTTTAAAATCAGCTTTGTTACCAAGAGTGTGGTTTGAACCCACAAGGACATTTATCCATTGGATCTTGAGTCCAAAGCCTTAACCACTCGGCCATCCTGGTCACGTTTTTAGGTTAGTTGTAGATATTGCTTCTCCAGTATGCTTTCTATCATCTCTATAAGATAAAGCAGTTTTTTATTTGCAATTACTCATAACAGAATTGACATTTGCTACAAGGAGGGGGGTTTGAACCCACAAAGACATTTGTTTATTGGATTATAAATCCAAAACCTTAACCACTCAGCCATCCTGTTTTGTCAGGAGATAGTTGAAGTGACTGTTCCTCTAGTCTCTAAGAGCACCGCTTTTTTTGCCCTAATTCATGCTAGAATTTGCTACTAGGAGTGGGGTTTGATCCCCCAGGAACATTTGTCCATTGGATCTTAAGTCCAACACCTTAACCACTCAGGCATCCAAGTCACTTCGATGTGTTAAAACCCTCTTTATTCCTTTTAGAGGTACTTCAGAACCAGTTTTTAGAAAGCAATTTGTTGACAACGCAACCACATTCAGCTGTATTACTATATTCTACTTAAAATTCACATTGATCTACTAGGAGTGGGGTTCAAACCCAAGAGGGCATTTGTCCATTGGATATAAAGTCCAACGCTTTAACCACTAAGCCATCCTAGTCACGTTGTTGTGTTAAAACCGTCATTATTCGTTTTAGAGATACTTCATAACCAGTTTTGAGAAACCAATTTGTTGGTAACACAACCACATAGAGCTGTATTACTGCATTCTACTTAAAATTCACATTGATCTACCAGGAGTGGGGTTCGAACCCACGAGGACATTTGTCCATTGGATCTTAAGTCCAACGCCTTAACCACTCGGCCATCCTGGTTCGTTGGTGTTGTTTGGAAAGGCATTAAAGTAGCTCAATGGATGCCATTACAGTCTCAGTCCTGGTGTTAAATATAAAACAATGAAGATATGCTTTACATCACTGTCAACCAATGACGAGACGAGTCTCCCACTGTCTTTCTCGCCTCCTTCCCCCTCTTTCTTCAGTCACGCTGCTCTTGCACATTATGGAATCATTTAATGAGGTTGTGCAGTAAGTCATTTTTATTTGCTTATTTTAACTTAACTATCTATAAGCTACTCATAATGCTTTACCAGATGAGCTGTTTTGCAGATTAAAGAAATGATTTAAACATCATTTATGATTATAAACATCAGGCCGTCATGTCAAAAGCGAAGTTTTGAGAGTCTTGTAAAGAGGTAAATTGAACGATCGATGTTGCTGGTAATGACAAACAGCTCTCCTCATCACCAGATGAAATATACAGTGGGTACGGAAAGTATTCAGACCCCCTTAAATTTTTCACTCTTTGTTACCCAATTAGTCGTTTGGCTTGTTGACGGTATAAGGTGGAAACCTCATACTAGACCCTGTCAGTTGTATTTAAACTGGCTAAGAAGAATAAAATTTTTAGCTCAATTAAGGGCAGATGAATAGACACTTAAAAGTGAATCTTATTTATATATTTGTTCATTTTTATAAAACTCCAACATCTGTTTTGCTCCCCCAGGGATTTTACAGTTTTCTAAAGCCCTAAAGGAATGTGAATCCCTTCCGTCTGTTGTTCATTTCAGTTCATGAATGATCATCCATTACATTCTTAAGTTTACTTCACCTTACCACACAATTATGCTCCATATTTCATTCTCATTTGCTCTTTATTTCTGTTCTGTTTCTGATCATCTTCTTTCTTTCTCAGCATTTGCTCACTATATTCAAACGTTCGTAATCATCCTGACTGTTTCTTTTTTTAGTTCAGCTCAAACAGTGGTGGCTCAGTACCTACTGTGAGCCAGTGCCCAGTGATGCCAAGCATTCATGCCAGCAATTGCTGGATTCCCTAAAGGCTCGGAAGAGCATCCCTATTACAAAATATTAGCGAATGCTTATTGAGATAGTTCACCCAAAAATGAAGAGTCGCTCTTATGTTGTTCTGAACCTGAACCTTCTTCCATTGGAATGATTATGATACTTTTACAGTGCTGATTTTGGAGATTGACAGCCCCAGTCATTCCCCTTTCAATTTCATTATCACTCTTAAAATATAGGTTCTAAAAGGGGCATATCAGCAAACCATGTTTGGTTCTTCAAAAAATCTTTCAGTGAGCAGTTCTTGAAAGAGCCATTTCTTTTTATTTCTTAGTGTGAAGAACATTTTAAAATCCAAAGGACATTTTATTGAATGGAAAGGTTCCATGGATGGTAAAGGTTCTTCATGAAACCATAGATGCCAAGAACCATGGTGGGGGAAAAAGTGACTTGAATATTCAAAAATACATTTTTTGTGTTTTGTGGAGGACAAAAAAAAAGTCATATGGGTTTGGAACAATATGAGGGCATGTAAATGATGACAGAATTAAAATTTTGGGTGAACTATTTCTTTAATTATTGCCATAATTTAACCAAGACAAATTGTCAAGTTGAGCACAAATTAAACAGGTAAATGCATGTGGGTTGAAAAGTCACTTTCTTATTTGCGTATGTGCTCAACGCCTCATAGGCCATGTTCTCGGCACGACCTAACCTACCTAACCACCCACCACATCATTCAAATGTCTCACGTTTTGAGTAGATGTGTTTCTGGACAGCTTAGATGTCATTTGTCATCATCGTTTGTCTGCAAGGATGCAAAGTCTCATTTCATTACTGTCACCCCTTTGTCCTGACCAGAACAACTCGAGCGTGTTGAAGATGGCATGAACCATATCAACAAAGACATGATGGAAGCTGAGAAAAGTTTAAAAGATGTAGGCAAATGCTGTGGACTTGTATGTCCCTGCGACAAGTAGGTACTGGTGAAGCGTCCAAGGCTTTCACCTGTCTGCTGCTGTCTGACTGTCTCTTGTCACTGTGAATGTTTAAGCCTCTCTCTTTCTTTTTGTCCCTCTTTTCCTCCTTGCCTTCCTTTTCTCTTTCTCTCTATGTTCCTTTTCCGCACTCTTTATTTCTTTTGGGGGCGTAATTGACTAATGTTTAAATCAGAGCAACTGGAGCGCATCGAAGAGGGAATGGATCAGATCAATAAGGACATGAAAGAAGCAGAAAAGAATTTGACGGATCTAGGAAATCTCTGTGGTCTATGTCCATGTCCATGTAACAAGTAGGTGATGCCTGTCGCCTGCCTGCCTGCTTGCCTGCCTGAACCCGACAAATAGGATAAAAAAGCACGTGGCCAGTTTGCACGCTCGCTCATGCTCGCTCCGTAGCTGCGACTTCCCCCCACTGCGCTCTGCCTGGACTACTTCTCTGTGCATGGGGATGGTGGTAGAGCTAAGTCAGTCTGCGGCGCCACTGGTTAACCCATAGTTGTAGCTGTAGGCCCTGCTCTCTGCCAGCTGAATGCACAAATATGCTGGGCTCTATGCTTCACTTATCCGTTGGTCAAGGACTGTTGTTCGTAAATGTTAAGTGCCTGCTTAATATGCATGTGCTACTTTTTGAAATGCAAGCATTACACACTCCTTGAAAGAACTTTGTGGACCACAGATTAGAAATTCACGCTTTATTTACTTGAGGCTGGCAGAGCTGGCTTCTTACAAAAGGGTTCCCTGAAAGGCAGAGCATGTCACTGCATGTGGGTAAAATGGTGGAAAATGTTATCTTGGCAATATATATATATACGGCCTGTGTAATTGATTATATTACAGCTCATTGCTAATTATGTGCTATTCATACCTTAAAGGTGCAGTAAGTCATTTTTTTGTTTTGTTTAGAACAGTTCTAGTCCTCACAATTTGATTGATTGAGTGGCACTCCATCTGCTGGTTGTCTTGAGACTGTCTTCATTTATTCTGCGATTTGTCAAAAACACTGATTTATTCAGGAACAAAAAAAATTGACTCTCTTTGAGTGAATCACCGAATCATTTATTTAAAGATTCATTCAAAAGCAATGATTAATTCAAGAAGGAAACAAGTGTCTTTAAGTGAATCACTGAATAATTTTCTCAACCGATTCATTCAAACACACTGAATTATTCAGGAACAAAACAAATGATTGTCTATGAGTGAGTCATTGAATCATTTACAGAACCAATTAGTTTTGTTAAAAAATAGTGATTCATCCAAGTACTAAACAAGCAACTGCCTTTGAGTAAGTCAATGAATCATTTAGTAGATCCGTTCAAAAACTGATTTATTCAGAAAAGAAACAAATGACCATCATTATCAGAGGGTCATTGCTGATATAGGAAACAACAATGTGATGTTGTAGAATTTTACGGCTTTAAACATGGCTCATCCAATCAGAATTTAGAGTAGAAACTCCTGTTTTATAAAATGGCATACAAAGATTATTTGAACAAATTACTAAATATATACACTGTTAAATACATTGTATGGGAAGATGAGTCAATGAGGTAATTCATAGCCTAATGCTTTATAGGAATAGACAGTCACTGTTTAACATGTTTGCTTGTGTCTGTTTACATTGTAATAATGATTTCACTGATTGATAGATATTGTTTGAGGGTTGTGGGTAGTTTATTCACTGGGAATTTGGTAATTAATGTTCAAATGACTTGGTAATTAAAGAAAAAATTACTCAGTGCACCTTTAAACTTTGGAAAAGCACAAGCACATTCAAACAAGTTTTCAGTACAGTAGTATCCAAGAGGACACATACATTGGTTCTCATTATTCTCTGTTTCATGAGTTGCAAATATTATGTTAATAATATTCTGTGCGACCAACTCTTGCATAATGATGCAGGCACTGCATAAATACTCAAGTGAGCAACTGTCACTGGCTGAAAAGTGTTAAACGGTCATCAGTGGTAATGCAGGCCATCGCCAAACGCCGGTTGTTTGATGAAGTATTTATGAATGTTAACTATCGGGTAGTTTCTTATTCCTTTTATGTATTTGGGGTTGACGTAATCAAAGTGTAACAGAACAAAACATGAAATGTGTTTTTTTTTTTTACTTTTAAAGTCAACATGAAAGGGAAGTTTGTATATTTGAATATTCAATGGGAAAATGTCGAGTGGGAGCTTGTTTTTATGCATCAGAAATTGATTGGATTGGGAAATTGGTATTTTTATGACAGGTGGTGTGATTAGAGGGCTTATAAGCCGAAAAGAAAAGTTGTTTCAAGGGAGATGCAAGTTATTACATTTTGATGAAAGATAATGAATCATGCTCAGTAAGACCAGAACGTGTATTAAGAAGGCAAACAAGGTCAATTCTGATTTCATGTTGACTTTAAAGCATGTGCAGATGAATGTAAAGGAGATTTTGGCTTACCTCAGAACTTTTATTCATGTTTCTTTTTAAAGACACACACCTGTGTCTGTGTCAGTAAGGATTAAGGTCATGCTTGAGTCTCACTGCCTCTGGTCAGAGCTTTTCATATCAGCTTCTGTCGTCACAATGGCAGTGGCATAAGGCAATGCGTACCATAAAATCTCTACATATGTAAACAGCCCTATCTTACATAAAAGGTTGAAATTAAAGGTAATAGCTTATAGGAAAACCTGCACTGCTTAGAGAGTTGCTGTGAGCTTTGTTCAGACAAGCAGAAAAAAATCTAATTTTTGGGATGTGTATCCAGACCTCAAACCTGTATAGTAGGTGAAATCCAGTTTTTCACAAACCCGACTCACACTTATAATCACACTGATATATTGTTTGAAATCCAGTTCAATTCAGATTTTTTTTTAAATATGTTTAGTCTGTTTTTTTAAGCACCACAGGAGGAGGCAAAATGTTCCATAAAAATACTGGGTTATCACTATGGGTAAACTAGAAATGTTTCAGGCCCTATATGAGGGGGAATTACTAAGGTCCTTTATGGTACAGCCTTCTCAAAGGGTCTGTGGGAGGGTGGGCCCATTAATATTAATAAAAATATATATATATTCTGGGCCTCTTGAATGTTAGTAACATTTCACAGTTTTGTGGAAGAAATTATCTTGGGATCATGTGACACTCAAAGAGATATTTCACACCAGCATGAATATTCTGTCATCATTTACTCACCCTTATGTCGTTTCAAGCCTGTATGAATTTTCATCTGTGGAACACAAAACAACATATTTTAAAGGATGTTTAAACTGTTTCTGTCCTGTGTAAAGTGTAGTGTAGTGTAGCTTTTATTTTTATTTATTTATTGTTTGTCATTTGTTGTACTTTTGTCATTTTTTAAACATTTCTATTAAGCTTTAATTTATTTTTATTTCTGTTTTAATTTCAGTACTTAAACTTATTTAATTTCAATAAGCTGTCAGGGCATTATTTTGGATTTTCATTTAAGTTTTTTAAGTTTTTCATTAGTATTTATTTTTTATTTTGCCTTTATTTAAATTAAATAAAAATGTTTTTATTCGTTTTAGTGAACAATAACAGCACTATATGCTTTAATTATATGAACAAAAAGCACTGAGGCATTTTTCAAAGTATTTTCTTATGTGTTCCACCAAGTCAAGTTTGAATCAGTAAATGGTGGCAGAATTGTATTTTTTCATTTCTTTAAGTTACTATAATGTCTGTTATATACTGGATATTGACTGTCTGAACAAGCAGGTCCGATTTCATCACTTACAGAATCACTTGCTAAAGATCGGATTTGAAAAATGGGTGCGGTGTGAACAAAGCCATAGATCTTTACTGAATGCATACTGTTACTAAACAGCCTAATTCCCTTCCCCGGCTGAATGCAATGCATGTTACTTGTTATGACAAATGCTTTTCTATTGGTTTATTAATTTCAGATCTAGCAATCTGTATCTAAATGTTTAATGAACACACTTTATATGTTTGGATTAGGTCTAATCTGTACTCTCACTGAGAACATGTTACTTCTGAATGCTTCTCTTTGTCTCTTTATCTTGATAACTGTTGTGAACCTCCTCCAAATAACTTGTCACGTCTCCATCATTTTCTATGTAATAGTCTGTCACACCCCACTGTACGTGACGTGTGTACGTTAGTTCCAGGAAAGCGTTTGTCATTTATTCATGAACACCTTTAGTGCATGCAATTCCATAACATGCAGATAATCCTGACCACCATTTCCTCTTTTAAGTGTTCTCTATCTGCATGTAGTTCCTCTCAGTGTATGTCTAGTGCTGAATAGTGTTACTTAACACCATTCAGCTTCTCACCCTGTCTCTCTCACTTCCTGCGGTTGTTCAGGCTGAAAGGTGGTGGCCAGTCCTGGGGTAATAACCAGGATGGGGTGGTGTCCAGCCAGCCAGCTCGTGTGGTCGATGAACGTGAGCAGATGGCCATCAGCGGAGGATTCATTCGCAGGTCAGTTACTTAGGAGAGATTAGTGCAAATACAGTATATTTCAGTGGACTTTGGTTATGAGTAAACTTTTGAGAGAGGTTCCTAATCTTATATTTATATTTTGACAAATTATATAATTTTTCATTTTATTCTATAAGCATGTTGTTAGCAACACCGACATAATGGATTTGATTCCCAGAGAATGCATGAACTGATAAAATGTATACCTTAAATTCAATGTAATTTGCTAAAACTGTCTGCCAAATGTGTAAATGTAATATATTAAAATGTATTTGATTGTATATAAAAAAAAAATATATATATATATATATATAGACAATTGTCACACCAGTTTTTAGTCAGTAATGCATAATAATAACAACAATGATATATAATTATAATATTTCATTCTCATTAATTTAATGCAACAAAAACTTGGATATTATTTAAATTGTAAAGTAATAAATCAGGTAATATTTGTCTGACTGTCTTGTATATTAAGTCTTTCTGTCTTATATATTAATATTCATTAAAACATTTTTTCATGACAATTAAGCGAATCCCTAATTTTTAGTACTGTAATGCAAAACATATTATTAATAATAATAATAATAATAGTAATGATGATCAAATCTTGTTCTCATTCATGTAATGCAAAAATAATTATATATTTCTAAACTGTAAAAAAATTATTTTAAAAAATTAAAGTAATATACTGTGGTATGTAAAGTTTAGTATACACTGTAAAAAAAAATTCTGAAGTTGTAAATGAAACAAAGATTATTTGAGAATTTTTTACAAGAAAATACTTTTTCAGTCTTTCTACTTCAAATTTACAACACAACACAATACAATACAAGTAAATACAAGGAAAAAATTAAGTTGGAGAGTTTTTGAGAAGATGAAAGCAGCAGGAATATTCTGAAATATTTGGAATAAAAATAAAATCGTAATATGAAGTCTTGGTGTTTACTATTGCTATTTGTTGCTATGGTTATAGGCATCACCTACCAATTAGAGCAGTTGACTTCAGTTACCTGTTCATACAGACATTTTTTGATAATTAGCTCTTGTCTGCAGTTGTGTGGACAGATCAATTTGAGAGACATTTTAGTAAATACGCTTCTCAGTCCCAAACGCTGACTGTGTAAACGAAACCTATTTGTGCTGTGGTTGTTTTCATCTGTCTAGTGTATCAGCAGTAAGTACACCGCGCTTCACTAGTCAGTGAGTCACAAGGATCTCTATAATAGTCTGTTGAAGACAAATGTCCGCTTTGTGCCAGACTGTAGCTGCAGGCAAGTCAGGAATGGTCATGAAACCACTGAGCTGTTGTTGGTCCTCTGTCTCAAAATATCCCCTGTCAGTCCGCAAACAGAATGAAATGTTTAGCTAGAGTCCATATACAACTTAATTGTTGTAGACAGTTGTTCTAGTCATGCTAGTGTAGTCAGAATCCACGGGTGAGGTAATGGGAGTAAACAGAATCGGCCGCTCTATCATGATGTGTTTAATGTCCTTTTTCTGTCCTGTACAACCTATCAGACTATGTATGGATGCCTATTTCCGCCATGGAATTAAAAATGAGGAATTTGTTACTTTTTTTCGACTTTTTTTCTCATAATTCAGACTTTTTGTCTTGCAATTTTGATATAAACTCCATATATTATCAGATATATATCCATATAGTCCAAATAGTCCAATATTTTTTTATTCTGTGGTGGAAATGGGCTTCAATATCAGACAGATTAAGATGACAATGAAATCAAAACTGACAATATTTATTTTATAAATACATGTTCCTAATTCATCAGTACATGTTATTTCACAGCAAAAAATAAATATTTGATCAGAATATAATAACTACATTTTTCTTATCTATGTGTTACAGTACAGTGTGTTATATTATGGAAAACTCTACTAAACCCAGTCTGTTTTTCATTATCTTCAGGGTAACAAATGATGCGCGAGAGAATGAAATGGATGAGAATTTGGAACAGGTGGGAGGTATCATCGGTAACCTCCGCCACATGGCTCTCGACATGGGCAACGAGATCGACACCCAGAACCGTCAAATCGACAGGATTATGGATATGGTAAGATCATGAAATTGCAATGTTGGAGAAATTATTACTCAACACAAGAGCCTAAATACTGACCGCAAACTCTCTCATGAGATAAGAGCTTCTAATTACAAGGTCACATTCCACTGTAAAAATACCCTTTGAGATCAATATTTGCATGGAGTAGTGCGTTTATGAATTCTGGATCATAAATCCATTTTATAAGGGAATGCATCACTATTACTATTGCTTTTAATCTGAACCTCTCAGAACAGTGGTTTTCAGCATGGAATTCTTTAAAATAATATATTATTCATTATTGTTGTTATTGTTAATGTTACATTACATTTTTATCCAAAGCGACTTACAAATGAAAACAATGGAAGCAATCAAAATCAACAAGAGAGCAAAGATATGCAAGTGCTATAACAAGTCTCAGTTAACTTAACGCAGTACACGTAGCAAGGTTTTTTTTATTATTTTTTTTTATTATATAATAAATAAAAAGAAAAAAGATAGAATAGAGCAAGCTAGTGCTTTTCTTTTTTTTTATTATATAATAAATAAAAAGAAAACAAATAGATAGAATACAAAAAAATAGAGAAGCAATTTTTTAAATTAATTAATTAATTAATGTTAATACTAATGTAACATAATGCTAAGAAAAAATAAAGAATATGTTTTTCTTCTCAACTTGAAACTTCAGGATGACTTAAATGATTTAAGTTCATATATTACTATAAATATTATTAATATTATTATAATTAATTAATTAATGTTAATACTAATGTAACGTAATGCTAAGAAAAAATAAAGAATATGTTTTTCTTCTCAACTTGAAACTTCAGGATGACTTAAATGATTTAAGTTCATATATTACTATAAATATAATTAATATTATTATTCATATTCATATATTAAAGTAGTCAAACTTAATTAAAATGCTAAAAAAAAAACGCTAAAACCTAGATTTTTTTTCTTTTAAATAACTATTGATTTTATTGAAGAGCAGTTCTTGAAAGTTCTGGAATCACAAAATAAATCATGCTAAATTATTAATATACTTTAAGACAATTAAGCATCACTAATTTTCAGTACTATAAAGCATATATAATATGGTTTTCATAATAATAATAATAATTTTGTTAATTTAATGTGACAATAATCTGATATTTTAAAGTAAAATGTTTATTATTGTAAAGTAATAAATCAAATTAAAACCATTTTTTGCATTGTCACATTATTTTTATGCCAATTAAGCTCAATATAATGCAGAAAATAATGATATATTGTTTAAATTGTAAAGTAATAAACTAAGTAATATTTTTTGTAATTTGTGCTGATTTAAACAAAAAATTATTTGAAAAAATACTGTATTATATCACTCCCAGTTTCTTTTTGAAAACAAGCATGTTTGTCGTAATGACATCAGCAATACTGGAGGAAACACCTATTGTATCTGTATCTATTATTTTTGTCTTCCAGGCCGATTCCAACAAAACCAGGATCGACGAAGCCAACCAGCGTGCCACAAAGATGTTGGGAAGTGGCTAAACCCCTGCGAGAAATGCTTTGGCTCCCTTTTCCCCTCCCCGCTGTACCTGCAACAGTGCACATGTGCTTTTACCGTGGTTCTCACCTGACCGGTTTGCACACATACACTTATCAGCCCCTCTGCGCTCTATCTAGGAAGTGTCGTCGTGTGTCTGTCTGTCTTAACTGATAGTCTAGTAAATGATCACATTTACTCTGTATCTTTCTCTCCAAAGATTAAATGTACATAGTGCATATTTGATGGCTAGAGCTCATGTGAAGTTTCTTCTTCTTCTTCTTCTTTTGATGGTTACTTTGTTTTTTTAAGTGTATATTTATTAAATATACAGTGGGTACGGAAAGTATTCAGACCCCCTTAAATTTTTCACTCTTTGTTATATTGCAGCCATTTGCTAAAATCATTTAAGTTAATTTTTTTTCCTCATTAATGTTTTGGATGAAATTTCTTAAAGGTTTTCAGTCATCTGTGTGTCCATGCTCTGTGTTTTACTCTATATAAGCCATGCTTCATATTCAGATGTAGCGAGACAGGAGACAAATTAGACTGTGAGGTGCAGGAGATCACGTGACAGATTGCTTATCTTAGCCTGACATTTTGTAATCGCCTTTAGACAGTGTTCAGTATTGATTATTCCACCTAAATTGGTCAGATACTGTATGTATACAGCGTGTCACTTTCACTTATTATTACCCGCGTCGTTCCCGATGTGTAGACTTTACCGTAAAGCATGGGGATGTCAGTACATGCATTCGGTTTGAAGCAACATCACAATAGTGCCACTCTTTTTATTTCTGTACGTCTGCAAAATGTGTCAGTTGATGTCAAATTGGAACTAAATGCCAATAAAAACTAAACAAACCTGAATCTATTGTTTTCGGTATCATTTCTTTGTTCTTTGTGTTTAATATCTTCCCAACGCAGAGACAATAGCAAGCGTTTGCTGTTGATACAAGAGTGTTAGAGTGACTGTACACTGTACTAACCCAGATCCTCTTTGAACCAGGGGCTTTACATGGATTATGCCTGGCAACGTCACTAAGTACATCCAAATGCTGAAATACACAAGTACACACACACTGGTTCAACACACACAACATGGAGAAACACAAGCAAGTGTAAACCTAGGTGTTAGGGGACAGCTGGCCAATCGTGATTATTGAAGTCTGCTGCCAGTAATGTACAGCAACATTATTAACAGACTTGAAAAATGTTAATTATTTGAGAAGATTACCCACCATAAAGAACAGATCATAATCATAATGGAGTAAATAGGGCTTAATATTGGTTAAAATATTATACTTATAATTAAAAAAAATTTTTTATTACAAATTAATTATATATAAAATTATATTTGTTTAAAAGCACAATTATGTGCACATTTTGAACAGATGTTGCATGTTGTAATCAAATAGA